CACACACACACACACACACACACACACACACACAAACACACACACACGTATATATAAATGAAAGACTGTCTGCTTTGTGAATGCTGCAGCTTTATATTGGTCTGCTGTTAGCTTAAATGAGGCATAACTTATACAGTTATGAATATTCATGAAACAGTTTGGTTTGTGTGTGTTTTTCCTTTCATTCTCTATAATAAGCATTCAAAGATTTCCTGATTGGAATACATTTAACCTTCTGTAACCTTTGAAAGCCTGCCAACATTCTCAGGCCACAATCTACAGTGTGTAGTATAGTGCTATAATGGTTTGCTAAGCTCAAATCAATAGGCCCACAAAGTTCTTCATCCTGCCACGTTCTGACTGAGACGCATTAAGATCATATTTTTCTTATGCAGCATGAGTTGGCTAAGAAGTCTAAAACAACTGTCAGCCAGTGTGTGACAGGATTTGCACAGAGGGTGGCCTCGTTTTGCAGGGCCCATCCTTCATCTAGACACTTAAACTTTGGGCACCTGATGAAGCGTCCTTTAGAAACACGGTTAAACCCCATACACAATATTTCTTTCTCTGACTGAATATGCATCTTTACAGGAGTAAGAAATAAAGTGTAATACAGGGTTATTTTAAGATCAGGTTTTACCACAAAAAGCGTGAAAAATACATTTTGCAAAACATTTGTATTTGATGCAATAGATTTAATAACTTGAGGATATTTTGGTTGCAGAATACAATCTTGAGCCCTGTCAAGATCCTGGAACACCTCAGTTTGGCTGGCATACAGGATCCAAGTTTGGAATCGGTGACTCGCTGCTGTTTTACTGCAACACCGGTTATCGTCTTCAGGGGGCCAGGGAGATCATTTGCTTGGGAGGTGGCCGCCGAATGTGGAGTGCCCCTCTGCCAAGGTGTGTGGGTACGTGGTCAGCTGTCTTTTTTCTTTCTTGGTCTGCATGCATTTTAGAGTTCAGGCTTTTAGAGGGTAAAGTCTACTAATTTTGTAAATATAAACAGAAATAAAAAATGTATTAAAAATTCTAATGTGGAAAAAGTTTACTTATAACTAGACCACTGTGATGTGATTTATTAATCTGAGCTGATGAAAGATAAACTCCATTACTCAAGTTTTGATTGACTCCGATATCTAGCTAGTTCACAATGTCTATATAGTTTTTATTTTAAAAAAGTTTCCCAAAAGCTGTTAGTCTATATAAAAAAATACAGGCAAATGAAATGCAGGCTTGTATTGGCTGTATAAGTGTCTGTGTAGAACATTATATAATGAAATAATAATTTATTGTCTTGACTTGCAAGGCAGCTAATAAATGTTTCCACTGTAGTCATTTAATTGTCTGCTAACTGTCTCCCAGTATGTCACTTCTAGTTGGTAATGATTTTTATGACGCCAAATTAATAAGTGGATGCACACTTGCTCATCCAAGTAAAATATTGGAGTTTTACTTTTTATCTCTTTAGGTAATGAACCTTTCATGATACCCCTACCGTATCCCAAATTTGGCTTCACAGTACCTGTTGTGTAACTGATTGTGTATGTTGTGTGTGGTTTTTTTTTGTCACAGCTGAGTGTGGTTCCACGGTCTCCAACAATGAGGGAGTTCTTTTGTCACCAAACTATCCAAAGGACTATGACAACCGCCACGAATGCGTCTACAGCATTCAGGTCCAAACAGGCAAAGGGATCAACATCACTGCCAGCACCTTTCAGCTCGCACAGGGTGACATTATCAAGGTAGGTAATGCAGTCACCCCTCTTCCACAATGACAAATAACTAACTGAGACTCTGCACCTCTCAGAAATATTTGAAGTATTTGCCCAACAACTCCATGATTCATGTACAAAATAAGTGAGAATAGTAGAGTTTATTTATTTATTTTACTAGAGACACATAATTCTAAATTTAGGAAATGTGTGTTTAAGAGAGTTTAGCACTTTGGGTTAGCAATACTAATAGGATGTAAATTACTGCTGTAGTCCCACTACAGCAGTGATGCACTACATTTGAGTTGCAGATAACTTGTTTAATGCTCCAATTAACAGCATTGTAGCCCATTAATGGGATTCCTTGTAATCCCTTGTACTTAATCATTTTGTGAGCATCTGAAACTTGGAAAGACATGCCCAGAGTTAAACTCCCCAGAAACATAGAAAAAGGGTCCCTCTTTAGTGTTTCAAGGGGAAATCCTAAAGCTTTTTATTTTATTAAAAAAAATATATATTTCACAGGTTGTTGACTTGCACTTGCAGATTTAGGGTTTGTTTTTAAACAATTTAAATCCATTCCATAAAGGGCAAGACACTATTTGAATATTTCTTTCTGATAAAATGTCTAATTATGAAGAAATACTTTAGTTATTTATGTATATATTTTTTTAGTATCTAGATCAAACTTGTAACTTAAATGTATTCTCTACAAAACTCAATAGTCTTTGTAAAAGGAGTTATGGGGGTACTGGTGGAGCTGGACCTTTGCCAGCATTGTGCAAGAGGTAGGACACACCCTGGACAGGTGGCCAGGCCATCACAGGGCCATACAGAGACCTACAGCCACACTCCACCTCACACATCCACTAGTATCCTCTTGCTGTGAGGTGACAGTGCTAACCACCACACACTTTGCCGCCCAAGCTTAAACTTCCATCTCTTACTGTTATGTCGTAGTCTCTCCTGCACATGAGCAACAAATCTTTCTTCTCTTTCTTGGATTAGCTGTATGATGGTAAGGATGGTACGGCTCCCCTCCTCGGCACCTATACCGGCACACTAATGCAAGGCCTGTCGCTTACCAGCACTTCCAACTATATGTGGCTCGAATTCTACTCTGACCATGAGTCAACAGCACCAGGGTTCCACCTCATATACCACAGTAAGTAAAATTCTTTCCCTTGGTGGGTTGAGGGATGCTTGCTTCGCATTCCAATGAGGGAATTTTGCATAATTTTGGAGTTGTGGTTTCAAGTAGTTGAATTTAAAATAAGATTTAATTGAAGCCACAGCCTTCTTTGCTGTGTCTTTCACTGTCAGGGTAACCATTAAACTCAGTGTGGTGTTTCTGCCTGTTTCCTAGTAAAAATTAGGGAGTTTCTTTTCACCCTCCCTTCTGCTTTTCCCTGCGCTGTGAGAATTTCTGTTCACTCTTTTTCTTTCCTCTATGTCTTGCAATTAGCATCCATGCCTGTCTAAGTGTACCTTGTTAAAATAGGTGACTTATTGCAACTGTATAAAATCACTGCTTCTGTCTGGCTTAATGTGTTTATGCACACACTATTTACAGTGTGGAAAATAATGTTTTGGTCATTGTTCTAAGTAGGCCAATATTAGATGGATAGAGTTAACTTTCTCCTCTAATTGGCCTGCTGACCATTTGTCACCAGGTTTCTTATTTATTACTATTACAAGATTCTTTTGAGACTGGTTTTCCATCCAATTGAAAGTGTTTTTTGTGAGTCACCTGCAGAGTTTCGGACATATTTTTGTCAACGATCAGATTTTTAACGGGCAGTAGTCAGTGGAAGACCTATTTATTTACTTATTAATTTATTTATATAACCTATGTTTAGTATGCCTACTAGTTTTAGTGTATTATTATCATTACAAGCTGTAAAACCATTAAAATCCAGATGCTTTGAGACCAGCAAAAAGTATTGGAAAATACACATAAATCAAGAGTCTCAGCTCATTTGGCGAAATATTGAATTTTAATTAACATCCAACTGCAATTGCGGTATTTTTTAGAAAAGTATTAATTGTAGTCTGTTTTTTGATATGCAGAATAAACAGTATTTAAGAAACTCATATGATAATTAGATTTTTTTTTTCCCCGAAGGATATGCCCAATGCAAACAAGTTGTCTGTTTATAACCACTGGTGTTTTAATCTAGATTGAATTATCCATTATAAATAGTTTGACTGATGTATAGGGGTAATTTAAATCTTGCCTAAACATGTAATGTTATCCTTTTTTGTTGACTGTTTCTACCAAAGAACTGATTTCTTAAATATTAGCCTGAACCCTGTACTGATTTATAATGGAAATTACACTTTGCTTTGTACTGCTTTGCTTTGTACGGAAACCATAAATCAGAACTGCTGATTTTTCAAATCTTTTTATGATCACCAACTGTTACTTCATAAAAGAACAGTTGTGTTGTTGTTCATGTAAGAAGCATGTATAAAGCCAAGGTTGCATTTTGACTTAAGCTCAAGAGTTATTTCAACATGGCATTCTCTATCTTCTACAATATCCCAAAGCATTCCAAGTAGAGGAGTTGTTTCTCAATCATACTAAATGTCCACAGTCAATTGAGCATTTAATTGTGAATATCTAATTGTGCTCTCTGTTTAAAGGAATAATTTACAGCCCTTTCATATTAAGGGACTGCAGGTCTTCATCCTTGCTCTGCCAGAAATGAATTCTCAAAACATAATCAATACACGTTTGCTGTTCAGATACATAGAAATATGATACAAGCATACAAAATTATTGCTGCATTGTTGTTTTTGCTGAATGCTGATGTGCAGTTAATTAAAGTATAGTCATAAATTAATCTTGCGTTATACTTAACCTTTTCTGTCCTTTCCAATTGTGCCTTTCCAGGTTTTGAGCTTTCTCACTGTGACGATCCAGGACTGCCACAGTTTGGCTTTAAAATCACTGACCAGGGTCACTTTGCAGGTAGCACTATCACGTTTGACTGTGAACAAGGTTACACTCTGCATGGCAGCGCCATACTCAAGTGTATGACTGGAGACAGACGAGCATGGGACAACAATCTCCCATCATGTATAGGTAATCCTTTGCACTTATGTTTATGTACCGTTACAGATTTTGTCTATTGATGTAGGGTGCCATCTCCTGACCTGTTAGTGTGTGCGTGTGTGTATCATAGCCCACTACTGTCACTTCCATTGTTTGACTTTTTTATGATTCAAAATAGACAAGCTACAGGCTCAGTTAGCTGTTAATTTAAAAGGATTTATCTCAACATGGTTTCCACTTAATTACTTTGTTCTAAAATAACAGACACCATTTTGTTAGACTCGCTCTGATGCTTCCTTGTTGATCATTGATCTTTGTGCTTGGTCTTTATAAAAACCTGGCTGTGCAGAATCATCAAGGGCCCTATAGAGAAGAACCCTAAATTCCTTTAGATTTTTTTTTTTAATGTTCTGCCATGACTGTTTCTTTTGTGTGATTTAAGTGATTTCATTCTGAAGCAATTAATCTGCATTAATTAAAAGGTGTAATGTTTAACCCCATGGTTATTCACTGACATGAAATACATACCTAAGTATACTTTCATATTCAGAGCATGCTGAAACATGGAGACAGAAATGATAAAGCTATTACCTGCACACCCCTTGAGCTTAGAAGGTGTTGAGAAACATAGTATTTTTCTTGGTGTCTAGCAATGATAGATTGAGGTAAAAACTGATTTACCAAGTCTGAACGTGTGTAGAATTGCAGTTTAAATGTCATAGTGCTTTACTGCCATTCTCCCTTTGATGCTCTAAAGAATGACCACAAGTAAAATCAAGGCTGTAGATAAACTGTTAAAGAATTTTAGATCACCAAATATCATCATTAATTGGGAGCTTTGTGCCCATGAACTGAATGTCAAATACAATTTCCAGCCATTTCTCCAGGCCTGCATTCAGACAATTAGCCAAGGTTAATATACGGATTTACCACTGTAAATATCTTATTTAAGTTTCTGATAAATTAAATGCCCTCAAGCTTGTAATATTAAGGGTAAGATGTCAACCTGGGACTATGCCACAGAGTGTAAATTAAATTATCTCACGACAGTCTTTTATTTTTATTTTTTAGAGGTCATTATAGATACTTGAGGACTAAAATGGTTTTAATCTGAGGAATGGCTATAGCAGATGGGATGGAGTGGAGGTTTCCTTTGAAATGCATTCATAAAGAGTTTTAATTTCACACCATATATACTTGTGTCATTACTGGTTTGTAAGCAAGATTTTGATCCTTTTTTAAAAAATTCCATTCATATGTTTGCATGCAGCCGAATGTGGTGGCAGTTTTAAGGGCGAGTCTACCGGGCGTATCCTCTCTCCTGGGTATCCCTTCCCCTATGACAACAACCTGAGATGCACTTGGTCAATTGAGGTCAGCTCTGGCAACATTGTCAGGTAACTACAGTTAGTCATACATATTCGTACATATAAACACTGACATTCGGTATGTTAATCCATAGTAGGTTATATCTATACATGCTGATAATTAGTAACCTATCATTTTGACTACGGTACTTAAACTAAATGTTTGGCTCACACTCACATGTACTCTAATGCAGAAATGCCCTTTTTTAAAAGGTTGAACCCAAAAACGGACATTTGGCAGCTACTGGATTATGGTGATGACATTTATATGCATGCATCTTTGCATGTTACCGTGGAGCGCCAAGGTTAATTACAAACATGAAAACTTTAGCAAAGCTGTGATTTGTGTTGTTTGGGAGAATATTCTGCCTTTTCCCCCTTTTAAATCAAAGTCTTGCACATTGTCCTGGCACAAAGCTCTTCTGTGCGACCTCCTGTATTATCAACAAGCCTTTGTCCTCCCAAAGAGTACAGGATGTCATTGTTTCTACTTCTATAAATTCATTCAGAGTCAAGTCCATAGTATACACGTACATTTTAAAACACTAATGCGCTTTGGAGACCACTAATTTGAAATGTTCTTTAAGTTGGACAGTTTACTATGAGTGCTATTTATTATTGTGAACCCTGTTCATGATGACTAGACAAGAAAATTATCTTCTCTTCCATTTTTGTATTAGATTGCTATGTGTAAAGCTTTGAAGGTTTTAATTTTTGGATTTTGGATTGTGTATTTGCTAGCGTCATAGATGCATAACAGATGCATAACTTTGTTTATGGTTAGAACCATTGATCTTCAGAGAGTCTGCTTTTCTTTGCCAAACCTGCTTGCACTGTTGAGCTAACATATTATATTTATAATTGTATTATTTCTGGGGGATTAATATAATTTTGGTCTGTTGTGAGGTCCGTTGCTATTCAGAAGACATTGGTTCTGAAGCTTGGACATCCAGACTTATGAAATGTCTGTTGTTTCAGTAGACAACAAAGACTTCAAATAAATCATTTACCATGAAAAATTCTTCTCCAAAGTTAGAATCCATTAGGAAAAAACAGCTTGCAGCAGCTTCATTTACAATGATTTACAGAGGGACTGAAACAGCACTGAGGGGAATGTTCCTCTGTTTTGATTGTTTGTCCTTTTAGTTGAGGATTTCTTCTATGATGGTAAAGCATACCCCATATGTTTTGATTTTACAAAGTCTCCACACTCACATTTTTTACCAGGATAACTGCTTAAGGTTCACTCCTCGCGAGATTGGCAGTTTCCCGGTTGGATAAATGTGGTGTAATATATCAACTTATACAAAGATATTTTCTTTTTTCTTTTGTTTTTTTTAATCAAGACATTGCTGACCATATGCAAACTAAGTTGGCATTATTTTTGTATTGACCTCTTTCAGTCTCCAGTTTCTTGCATTTGACACTGAGGCATCCCATGACATCCTGAAGGTATGGGATGGACCTCCAGAGAATGAAATGTCTTTGAAGGAGGTCAGTGGCTCACTTCTACCAGAGGGAATCCACTCCACACTCAACATTGTCACCATTCAGTTTGAGACAGACTTTTACATCACCAAGTCTGGTTTTGCCATTGATTTCTCAAGTGAGTATTCTTATGACATTTTTTCCTCTGAGATATAGACTAAACTTTTTATATGTAAATATTCTGCAATCCTTCTCAAATTGTTCTTTTTTTCCTATTGTCTAGACTACTGTTAATATGAAGAGGTATGATGCAAAGTGATGTCATTTGTATAATATTTTACCATTGGTTTGTTGAGTAGTGACACTTAAGGTGATATTTTACAGTTAATTTTGTATGTGTTGTTGTCTTTACTGCTTGAATACAAATGAAGATTATGTCCTGCTGATGACTCATTACACAACTGAAGCATCTGGAAGAGAGCAGAAAATGAATTGCTGTTTATGCCGTGAAAGGGTTTGAGTCTGTAAATGCTTTAATTTTAACATTAAGGTGAAGCAGTTTAATGCAAAAATCAATGATATAGAATTCACTGCAGTGCAAAATGGAATTGATTTTTGTAAATGCATGCTTTACTTGTATATTCTCTTTGCCTAAGGCTGACAGTTTTCAAAACCAAAAAGAGACCCATGCAGAAACCGAATTATTTCACAAAGAGCACACAACTGTTGAATATGTATTTATCTGGTAATTTAGAGTTCACAAGATTGTGGAAATGCAACATAAATGGAGAGCTGCATGCTAACTCAGGAAGTCAAATTTACACTTTTGTTCACTCAGTTCTGCAGCATAGATTTTCTTATTTTTTAAACAGATTAAGTAATTTTTATTGTAATATATTTTGATTCAGACATGTTCTATGGTAGTGAAGCTCCAATTTGTGGATCAGTTGTACTCCTTTATTAGATGTATGTTGCTTTAAAACAACCATAACAAAACAAGCTTCGATTAATCAGCTGTAAAGGGAATTCTCAGTTTGTCAAGGTGAAATATTTCAATAATCAGTCAGATTTTTATAGGTCTGTTAATGCACAGTTGTGGTTTTGGCAAAGCAGATGAGGAAAACACAGTAGACTTCAGCTGACGTTAGTCAGTAATCTCTGTGTGGGTGTGCTCTCCCTTGCTTTTACTGATTCTCTGTACAAAGCTCCCACATCTTAATCTGCAACTGTATGTGTGAGTCATCTGTGCTCGTGTGTGTGCCCCTCAGGTTCACTTGCGACAGCCTGCAGAGATCCAGGTATTCCCATGAATGGCAGTCGCAATGGAGAAGGGCGGGAGCCCAGTGACTCTGTGACCTTCACTTGTGATCCAGGATATGAGTTGCAGGGAGAGAGCAGAATCACCTGCATCCAAGTGGAAAATAGATACTACTGGCAGCCAAGCCCTCCGAGCTGCATTGGTAAGAAAGGGGGAGATGGTGTGACTTGGAGGGTGGGAATATAGAGAGGGGCATGTGGATAGAGTGAGGGAGGAGACCAAAATGAAAGAGAATGGTGAGAGTAAGTGGGCCACAGTTTGTCCATTAACTGTTGGCGCCTCAGACTGAACTTCTCTCTCGCCGATATCTTTAGAATACATGGAGGTTAAATAAGACACTTAAGATGTTTTTGAGCTGTTGCCAGCTCTAATGTGGACAAAACCACCTCTGTTGCTGTTTAGATACCAGGAGCTTTGCCTGCACATTGCACCATAAGAGCTCAACAGCCAATTAGCTAACGGTACAATTAGAAACAATTACGCTAAGTAGTTTCAAAGAACCCTGGATGGTCTTGAGTTGCTGCCAACTTGTCTAAGAGAGTTTTGTTCTAGTTAGAAAATAAGAAGAAAAATCTGCTTTGAGTCTTGATGTGCAATGATCAGTTTTATAAGCTGCTATAATAGCAGAGCAAGAGGTGAGATAAATGTCTGATACTAAAGAAGTGTTACACACCACGTAACATACCCTACGAACACTTCACTAGCATCACATGGCAGCTGTTTCTACATTCAGTTTATGAATTGCTTTGAAAAATACATAAACAAGGCTTTTCACTTTAATTTATAAAAAACAGACACAGTGATGCTTTACATTATGACAGATAAGGTAACATAAGGCAGAACTCTGTATAAATGAATCATCATTTAATGTCTCGGTAAGTATAAATTATATTCCAAGCAATATCTAGGTTTATGTTCAGTGATAATGGAAAAGAAAGATAATCATTTTGGGATCTGCTTTATTTTGAATTATTCAATGCCTGAACGGACAGAAATCCATGTTTTTTTCCCCAACAGATAAATGCATATACTTGAAATGTTTGTATTGGACTTTATCTTCTGGTTTAGCCTAAACTCAGCTTGGAGAAAGATTTTTCTACAGGATGGGTTCTTTTTATTGATTGCTGCATATTTTTCATCCCCTTCTTTTTTTTTTTAATCTCTCAAGCTCCATGCGGTGGGAATGTGACTGGATCCTCTGGATTCATCCTCTCCCCCAATTACCCACACCCCTACCCACACAGCAAAGACTGTGACTGGTTGATTGCAGTTCACTCTGACTATGTAATTTCCCTGGCATTCATCAGGTAAGATGACTGTATAAGTGAATAAAGGATAAATAATTGCTACAAATATGGGCAATTGAAAGATTCAGCATGTAACAGTTTGCATTACCTTTGAACATTTTGGACTGCCATCTTATCACATTAGACCAGGAGAGTGGGTGAAAACTCACTATAGAGCAGTTGTTTTACTGTTTATTTGTGTTGCTGAATGCAACCAACATTTAGACAGTGATACTGTGATACAATACTGAACCATGCATTTAATACCTTCTTTTAACATCACTTTAGATGACCCAGCTATAACAATATCAACTTCTTGTTGATAAATAAGTCATTACCACAGAAACAAAAAGTCACAAGAACTCTCTTCATGCAACCACAAAGAAATAAAAAACTACATTAAACAACCAGTGTATTTCCCTTCAGTTTCCATGCAGGTACTGGTTCTAAACACACACTTAAAGCCACAGACAGATCTCTGTATCTCCACATCAGTCATAGTTCCAATGATAATTTAAACTAACTAAGATTAAAATGTACCCTATGAGTGCAAGAGAGTATTGTGATAAACATCCCAGAAGCCACAATAAATGGATGTTATTACTACAAATAGGTGAACTCATTTCTACTAATTTCTTCAATATTTAGTGCTTTTAACACTTCTCTTAAACTGGTCATGGTTTGTGATGCACATAAAAATCCATTAATCTTGCACAAAGTCAGCAAAAATAATCCACCAACTGAGACAGGGCTGCTGTCACATTGCCACAGCATCTGATGAAATAGATGAACAAACTGATTAGCTCTGAGGCATTTGATTCTGGTGCCCTGGAAAATTTAGGACTGGTTGTCAAGTGGAACAGCCTCTTAAGTCTCATCCCTGCTCTGTGAGGCTGGTACATCTTTCTCCTCAATTTCCTGATTTTCTTAAAACTACCCTACAAAAGTCTATATCATAAAGGACAGCAGTCAAACCTTTGTCTATAAAATCCATTCATTTTCTTATTTAATACAAGAAGTGTTCTAAAACTACAAAATATAAAACTAAAACTCAAACAAAAACATTTCTGGAGCCACGGCTACAGGCCATTACAGAACAGTAGTTATTCGCGCTGCTGATTGGCGGACTATAATGTCCTCGATTTGAGCAAAATAAGTACATGGTCAAAAAGCCTACAGTATGATTCGCTGCCTAAACCAGTTGTATGTCTAACCTGCCTGACACAGAATGGACTCGGTTCACAGTGGATGCACTGCAGCTCATGTTGTACTGTGGAATGACTTGTGTCTGCACTGGAACCAGATATAACATCAAAGTATTGAGTTAGGTTGGCCATGTGTGTAAGGCATGCCTGAGTCTGAGTGCAGGTGTTTTTGGAGATAGGAGAAGGTGGCATTCTCTGCAGACACCTAGAGAAAATTTCATACACTTTGCTGAAATGTGGTGAAACAAGTCTTCTGGATGAATAATTCATGGCAGAATTGTCTTGTGAATGCAGCTCATTTCCTGTGCTTAAAGACGCCCAGACCATAAATCTTTCATTATTAATTGTAGAGTAACCATGTAGCAGCAATACCAGAAGGAAAAAACACAAAGATACTCCTTAGGGCAACTTTCATGAACAGTCTTCTTTTTAGCCTTATGAATTGTGTCTATAGTCATTTCATGAAGAACAGGAGTAGGAACAACTGCACTCCCACACATTTTTCTTTTATACTTGTGGTGAAGGAGAAAAAGTCACCAGATTTATTTTTCAACCTTGTCCTTCAAAACAAACATCTAATAGGGTTAGCACAATGCTACTTTCTCTCTTAGGAATGCATAGTGAAAGGAAGGAGTTATGATTTTTAAATTGGAGTTGCCTTTATCCAACTCAAATGCAATTATCTCCAAGCTATTTACATTTCTGTCTTAAACCATGCTCATTATTTTGAAAACAAATGCTCCTCTCCCTCTTGGTGCAGCATATGATTTGATATACAGCGCGACAATATGAAACAGTCTTTTCACACTGCATTTCCATTGCTGACTGGGAAGGTTTTATGCTACAGCTGTGTCACAACAATTTAATCTCCTCTCACCTCTTAGGGGAGATATCTTTACTGTTTTTTAATCTCCTTGTATGGGGATGCAAAACATATCGCTTTGCATGACTCATTTTGTGCACTGCAATACACACTTCTATTTCAAAACCCTAATGTATTCTTAATCTCTCATTCAATCTGTTAGATAATACTGGGCAACATAGTAACTTTGTTTATTATTTGTTTTCTATCACTTCAGCTTCAGCATTGAGCCCAACTATGATTTCTTGTACATTTACGATGGGTCAGACAGCAGCGCTCATCTTATTGGCAGTTTCCAAGACAGCAAACTTCCAGAGAAGATTGAGAGCACTTCCTATTTCATGTACTTGGCTTTTCGTAGTGACGGCTCCGTGAGCTACACTGGCTTTCACCTGGAATACAAAGGTAATCCAAACATCTGTAAAAAGTGGGAATGTGTATGTATTTACTTTGAGTATATATGTGGAAAAGCACGATATTTAGTTCATATCGAAAATGGTAACACTATAATTATAAGGAATCAATAGGAACGTTACTAACTGTACAATGTTAACCATTGAAAGCCATTTTACTCAATATTTATCCATTTCAAATGTACCTTTTCAGTAAAACTGATTATTTAATTTTCTTCATTTTTACTTGCACTGATTTGTGCCTCAGTATTAGTTTCTTCCATGTGAGAAGGTTGTCACTGTTGTAATGCTTTTTTGTTTTTGATTGGCAGCTAAACTACGGGAGGCTTGTTTTGATCCAGGGAATGTAATGAATGGCACTAGAATGGGCACAGACTATAAGCTGGGATCCATGGTGACATTTCATTGTGAGGCTGGCTACCTGCTGCAGGGCTACTCTACTCTGACATGTGTCATGGGCAACAGCAAGAGGCCAGAGTGGGATAGAGCCAAACCAAGCTGTCAAGGTACGAGGCAACATTTTGACATCAACACATGCCCTGAGTAGCAGTGAGTTACACTTAGGCGGTTTGTCCAGTGTTTGATACTTTGTGATATTTAGGTGTAAAAACAAAAGATGCAAAGTTTTGCCCATTATTTCCATAATTGAAAATTAACGGCGAGTTCAGCACCTGTAAAATGGGTCGTAAACGGAGGAAAAATAATGCTTCATGTGTTGCTCACTGTCACGCTTTGTAATTAATGGCTGTTTCTGGGAAATTACATGATCATTTTGACATTATATCAAGCATACCAATTCAAATACCTTTCAGTGTCTGAAGTCCATCAATTTGACCATTTTACATTGTTCTCCCAATAGATGAATGATTAGTTAGTCACAGGAGTTTTCCGCCAGGCAAGGAAAACCAAGAGACTCCCTTATCAGATGGCTGACTTACTCTCACTTTTATGACCCAATGAAAGCAGGATCATCCATTTGTGCAGAGCTTGGAGTTGAGGTTTATCTACAAGCTCTTTAAAATCACTAGGTTATTACCCCATGTCTATGGTTATTTTTTTAAATTAAACCCCAATATTTAGCATACCGTGAACATAATGTGATTTCTTTTCTTTTTTTTTCTTCTTTTTTTTTCAATAAAAAACGTCATCATCTTGCTCTGCTAAACACTTTACTTCTTAAGAAGCCTTAATGTTTCAAAGCTTTCACCAAGCCTACAAAGCACATGTATAATAACCGGTCAAACTCCCAAGAACAGCTGCTCTGTTATTCCGCAATAAGATTGTTATTGAAGCAGGCTGTGAGCGTGCAGGGTTGTCCATTCGTCTGTGGCCCTGAGATGGACTGTGATGATTCACATGAAATCAGCAGCTCAACTTTTTAGTTTTAAGATAGGAACCAATAATTCTGACACATGTTCTCATCCCACCCAGCACACTTGGGTCTTGTTTTTTTTTATATGTCCATTCCTTGTTCAGCAGATAAGTTTTTTTTATGGAACATTAATGTTCAAAAAGAGGATAACACAGAAAGGACAAAATTTGTAGAAGCAACTTTCCTGCACTCTACCTTTCATTAATATTACGCTGTTTATAACTCTTGAAATATTTAATATGCTACGGGTAAATTAGAACCCAGCTCTTATTTTCAGCACTATCAACTAGGAGTGCCCACTTTCACACCAGGGAGCAGTTAATTACTTTTACGCTTGGCACCTGGGTAACTGAAGAGCTTTGAGGATAAGTGCATTATTAAGGAGACCATCAGCATCGCTCTGTTAAGTATTTTCTCTGTAAATTAAACTGAATTGAAAACTTAACTGGGCTAAATTTAATGCCTTAACATATGGCTAGTGTCTGTCCCCATACATTTGGTGATGACCTTAGGTTCCTACGATTTCCTAAAGAGGTACTACGTATATTTCAATTGAGGTAATATTGCTTACTGGTATTTGTCCACAATCCATGACTTGCCTAAAAGTCCAACAAAAAAACGCCACTTGAGTTCTGATCAGGCAGGCCTTTCCTCATAATCTCACCTCTCCTAATTTACTTTCTTCACCTTATTTTTTCACTGAAAACTAATTATTAAATTGTGTTAAACATATTTTCGCTTTTTATGACGTTGTTTAAGTGCAGTCATAGCCATGCTGATAAACGATAAACCTCAGTGCATGTATTTTGACAGTTTTAAAAGTATTTTGCATATTTTTATTTGAAGAAAAACAAATTCATATCACATAATAAATGTGATCCAAATTTATATATCTTATTTGCTCGTGTAGGACCTGCCTTAAAAATTGGCAGTAAAAACAGTTACGTAAAGGAATTTTGATCATATGGAACCAGATCATATGGAACCAGATCATATGGAACCAGA